CAGAACTCAAATCACTCTGCTATGGGTAGCAGGCAATCCGATGGATGTCTTAACAGCTACACCAAACACCTGCCCCTATTTTGTTTTAAAGACAAGTATTACATTCCTCAAAAATTATCTCCAAAATCCTGCTTTTCCAAGACATGAACAGGCCCTTCCATGTAACAGCAAATGATTTGAAATGAGTTACTAGCACATTTTCTTTGCGATTCAGTTTTCTCATCTACAAAGCAGAGATAATAACAATACCTACTTGTCAGGGAGTAGTGGAGATTAAGGAAATTACACACCTCGGCATGTACAGCACTCCACTGCAAGCAGAATGCATTTCATTTCTTCTGCTAATAGAGAATAGCACTAAAAAACCCAGAACTCTGCACATCCCATTACAAATAGTTTCTCCTAAATTGTATTGTCTCCAAGACGAAAAACCACTAGTCAAACTTATAATGAGAGAATATGGATAGCTCTGTTAGTGCTGTTAGTGTGGAGTACACACTCCAGTAAAATCATGATGTCAGCTTTAGGAAGGAATTTTATAATAATGTGTGCATACTCTTACATTAGTAATTCTCAACAGAAAGAGAAGTCAAATGTATATTCAATGTGCTCTCATTTTCATAACACAAATCAAGGAATAAATCTTGAGTCAGATATTCAAAAAATAAAGCACTAAAAGGATTTTTAAAGATTTACTCATCTTTACTTAAAAGGCAGATTTACAGAGAGAAGGAGAGACAGAGAGCGAGGGAGCTCAGCTGGTTCACTTCCCAAGTGGCCGAACCAATCCAAAGCCAGAAGCCAGCAGCCAGGAGCTTCTGGGTCTCTCATGTGGATACAGGGGCCCAAAGATCCGAGCCATCCTCTGCTGCTTTCCCAGTCCACAAGCAAGGAGCTGGATAGGGAATGGAGCGGTGGAGACCCAAACTATTACCCATATAGGATGCCAGCACTGCAAAGTGCATGATTAGCACTAGAATTAGTTTTTATAATAGTATAATATTGTTTGAATAGTCTTAGTAATATCTTTAATACATGAAAAGTACATGTATCAAAATACATGAAAATACCTTCAATAATGAAGAGTTACTTCACAAAGAACTTACTGTATTTTCCATAAATGCAGATGTCACAAACATCTTCCTCACATGAAGCCAAAGGTCCTTTGTTTTGTCCTTCCCCTGTCTCCCCACACATGATGAGATTCACATGTCCATGTGCACTTTTTCCTCACACATGAATTAGTGGTTCTGATGTCCCATGCTTTCCAACCCTTTCCTTATCTTTAGATTCTCCTCTGCTGGAGATACTTCCTAAAAAGCAAATGCAGACGAGGAGCAGAGGATACTAAGCTACAACTCACAGGCCGTATCTAGCTCATGATCAATTACTAATGAATTTTTTATGTTTGCAAGTGATTGAAAAAAATATGACATTATGTGAATTTTAAAGGCTCATGCCTTTAACTATGTTATTCAAAGAGTCTTACTCATTTCTTCTCATGTCATCTATGACCTATTTCAAGTTACAACAACAGAGGTGTTGCATGTATATCTAGGAACTCCTGGCACGCAGAGCCTGTAATATTTACTATCCAGTGAAGTTCACTGCTCTGATTTTGGCAGAACACTGGCCTCACAAGCATGTCCAACAGGAACAGTCTTCATCTGCAACTGTGTCCTCCCTCTGTGGCAGCAGCTGACTCCTGCAGGAAACCAGTCTTCACTCAGCAAGTTCCACCTCTCCTTCATTCCGAGTCTCAGTCACACCTTTTAGAAGATCATTGTTCTGATGAAGCCTGGTAACCTGGCCCAAATCAGGCATTCAGAACACCATCATTAAGTGAATAGTGACCTATGGGCCTCTGGGTAGTTCTTGGAAGAAAGCACGTAGTCTAGCAATGGTTGAATTTTTAAACATGTAATATATCATTTGCCAATAGTTGCGGCTACTCCTTCTGATGGCCATATTACAGAAGTGTTAAATCTATACAACTTCACAGATTTCCAATGAAACCTGTGATATACGTGTGCGATGCATGGCACCAGAGCAGGGTCCTAAAAGGGCCACTCACTGAGTCTCAATGCAAAGATTTCACTCATATTCTGGTGAAATCATGTCCCCTGAGCCACAGAGAGTGAAAGGACAGACCCCAGCCCCACTGTGGATAAAAAAAAAAAAAAAACAGGAATTAGTTGAATACAAAGGACTGCAGTCATGACCTCTGCTCCTCTTCCAGTTCACTTCAAACTGACAAGCATTTATTGGAGACCTTTACATATCAAACAATATACTAGATTTCCAAGGGACAAACAAATAAATATGGGATGCCCATTCCTACTCCCCAACGAGCTCATAGTGTAGAAATGGTACACACAGAGACACACATATCTACATGTGTATATGAAGGATATACATCAAATAACTAATAGTAGTTATCTTGGGCTAGTGGGTTTACAGGTATTTTGATTTTCGTTTCTTTGTCTATCAATATTTCCTAATTTTCATATTAAACATTAATTTCATAATGAACTAATTTTAAAAATCTAATAAAATAAACAAAGTAAACAAATGAGCGCACCTGAGTAATTCAAGAAACATTTTCTACATGAGGGACAATGTAGATTGCTTTTTTAAAAAGCTGTATTTGTGTATATTGAAAGGCAGATTTAAAGAAAAAAAGGAGAGTTAGAAAGATCTTCCATCCCCTGGTCATTTCACAAACGACCGCAATGGCCGGAGCTGACCCAATCCAACGCGAGGAGCCTCTTCCAGGTTTCCCGCATGGGTGCAGGATCCCAAGGCATTGGGCCATCCTCGACTGCCTTCCCAGGCCACAAGCAGGGAGCTGGATGGGAAGTGGACACAAACTGGCACTCATGTGGGATTCTGACTCTAGGAGGTGGAAGATTTGCCAGTTGAGTCAATGTGCAGCCTCCAAAAAATGTGGATTTTAAAGAAAGAGAAATTTACTAAGCAGATAATGAGGGAAAATATTTTCAGAAAAACATGAAATAGTATATTTTAGTATTCAGGAATACTAAAAGTTTCCATGGAACATAAAGGGGTTTACAGAAAAAATAAGTGGAACCAGACAGAGATAAGCCAGCTCAGACCATGAGGCACTTTGGACAATATTAAAGAGCATGCATTTTAGGATCAACATAATGGCTCAAATGGCTAATTCTCCCCCTTAAAGTACCGGATTCCATATGGGCACTGATTTGTGTCCCAGCTGTTCTATTTCTCTTCCAGCTCCCTGCTTGTGGCCTGGGAAAGCAGTGGAAGATGGTCCAAAGCTTTGGAATCCTGTACCATGTGGAAGACCTGGAAGAGGTTCCTGGCTCCTGGCTTCAGATACGTTCAGCTCCATCTGTTGTGGTCACTTGGGAAATGAACCAGCAGATGGACGATTTTTCTTTCAGTCTCTCCTTCTCTCTGGAAATCTTTCAAATAAAAACAATAAAATAGATTTTTTAAAAAGCAGGCATTTCTTCCTAAGGTTATAGTGTGGCTGAAATGAAAGCTATTCTGACAAACAGCCACTTAGTTCTGATAAAGAGTAGGTACAGGGGTGATTCTGTAGCTTTTATTCATCCCAAAATGAAATAACACTACATTAGATAACACCTTGGTTGGTATTGTAGACAAGAAAACTTAACTTAGAATAAGAGCACTTGACTAGATAACTTTTTAAGTTCTTTCTAAACACTATCAAAATTCTCTGACATCTGTGTCATGATATACCTGCACACATTTCATTTGATATCTATCGAAGTCCACGCAATTTATTACCAATACATTGTACTAGAAGATAGTTTGGCCAGCACGTGAAGAGGCCTCTCTGTGAAGTGTCCTGAGACTCGGGCAGGTGGGGCTGATACTAGCCCAGATTTGGGAACTGCTAATGCAATCTCAGGTGAACATGTGAGGAAGTGAGGAGGTAAACACCTGGGAGGTGGAGATGGAGAAGGAGCCGGACTTGTTTAGGAGTGAATTGGGACATCTCCACAACAACTCCTCCCTAAGACAGACCATTATGTTCTCTATAAAAAGGCCACTCTCCCCAACTAGCAACACCCTGCAAGCTGCTTCAGACTGCCCTCCTGTTCCTCTGGTGAACTAGGTGAGTAAACTGGGGTTCAGCTCCACTCCATGAGAACCGAATGAGAGCAATGAGGAAGGTCCAAGATGCGACCTGAGGCAAAGAGGCACTAAAACCAGGCTTATTTGTAGTCTACTTTGGGGGACTTCATTGTAATCATTAATTTGAGGAAGAAAATGAAGTAACAGTTGAACTACGGATAGTACCTCCTTTCTTTAGGATACTTCCTTAAGATAATGGGAATCTAATGATCCACTAGGCAGATTGTCTCCTTTAGTACAGAGCTTTTTGTCTCAGTTTTTAACCTGTATGACCTGAGAGTCAGTCCCTGCCTGAAGAATGGAAACAGAAGCTGAATGTGAAAGCAGATGCCTCGCAGCTTTATATCATCTAAGCTTATTGCTGGTTTTACTCACTTTGTCTATATTCTCAAGCCTAGAAGTCTGGAAGGTCCAGGTTAGTTACCACTGCTCCTTAGCTGGAGTCACACATGCAATGTAGATAATAGACTATCCTCCACAATGGAATTTCTAAAAACTTGGGAGGAACAGAGGAAATGAAAGGTCTGGCACACTCCAGATTTCCATGGCTCCTAAATACAATATCCTTGTTAGAGACCAACAGCTCAAAACACAAAGTCATTGCTTCTGTGTTTATTCAGAAATGGAAATTAGCAATATGCATTGTTCCTAATTTCATCACTCTCTTACTACAGGGCTTGAACAAGTCATTCAACTTTGAATAAGTCAATTACAATAGGATAATCATGCTGATTAATCTGAACAATTATCACAAATGATGGAGTTATGCATGTATTTAAGAAAGAAAGAAAAAAAATTCAGAGGCAGGTCTCTTTTCCTCCCCTTCAGGTTAACTTTGTGAAACGATGTCTAAGCTCCTACAAAGTATTATCACTACCATCGATGTTTTCTACCAATATGCCATCCAGAATGGGGAGTGTGACATGTTGAACAAGACAGAGCTGAAAGAACTTTTGGAAAATGAGTTTCACCAAATTCTGAAGGTAAGAACTTGACACCAGGACTAATTCTACAGAAATTCTATTTTCTACCCCTCCTATCTTTTTGTTGTATATGTCTAACACACTGAAGAATTCTACCTACTTGGTCAGATAGAACCGGGCTTGTTAAATACATTTAAAAAAAAAACTAACTAGCCCACAAGAGTTTCCATAACATGATCAAGGTAAATGATCCTACTAAGTAAAAGAATCCACGGATTTTAAAATGTCCTATCTATAGAAACAATTCTATGGAACAGAAATGACAGGCCTCAGAAAAATTACAAACTATATAAAATGCATCTTTCTTTTGTCTTTATTCAATTCTGAATTCTACCCCCCACAAGTGCCCATTTCTGAAATTACAGCACTGTAAGGCCTATGAATTCAGGAAATTGACTCTTATTCCCTCCCCCCAACACACACACCCAATCACAAAAGAAGGTGGTTACCAAATTAAACTTGTTGGCTTTGGAAAGAAGATTTGGGAACTTATCTAGCTCTTTAGCTTCAATTCCTTACATTCAACTGCCAACTGAATACTACTCAGATTCCTATGGATATCTTACAAGAGTCATGAATGAATCTCATCATCTTCTGCTCTAAACCTTTTTATCCTTTTTGCCCAAGGCAAAACCATGGGCCATTACTGATGTCTTCTGTCTTGGCAGGTACCACCACCTCCCAATTTTCATCTAGTTCATCAATTGACTCTTAAAATAGCCACCACCTTTTCCAATCTCAATATTAGATGTTCAAAAGCCTTTAACAGCTTCCATCTGTTCCTAAGTTTAATGTTTCTTAGAATGACTTAAAATCATTTTCTGGCATCTGATTATCTTTCTAGTAATATCTCTTAACTCCTTAGTGTCTAGATCTAGCAATCCTGACTTTTTTCAGTTCCTAAGAAAAGCCATGCCTTCTCTCACTTTTGCCCTTTGTTTCTATCATTTCCTCTATGTGGAACAATTCTATTTCCCTTCTTGATTCTTCCATTTCACTAATCTTAACCCATCCTTCAAAAGAAATCACATCCTCTTATTAACACTTCTTTGATCCTCAGTGATTCCTTTCTGATGTACTTATAGAAACTTTATCAATAAATTAAGATTTTGTCTCTAACTCAATAAACTTTCAATTTCATTTTGTTATGAACAAAACTTGTTCACTGCTTTGCTCTATCATAAAATACAATGTAAGGAAGATGCCTGATTCAAATAAAGCTTTTTGATTAATTGCCTACTTACACTAGAAAAATAAATAAGTCATACATAATGAATATAGTCAAATTATTAAATAATTCATACCTCAGATTTTTACGCCCCTCCCAAAAAATCCCTTTATTTGCTTTTAACCTTTAGGTGCTCATAGAAATGGCTCATAGCTATTTCTCACTGAATTATTAAGTTCGTATTCCTTTCTCTCTACTCAGGATAGGACAAGTCAGCCTAAAGAACTATGCAATTGGCCTCCACTTAAATATGGCAAACATTCATATTACTATATCCTTCAATTGACTATCTGGGTGTGTAGTCCAGACTGACAAAGGTCTCCTGTCTTTTCACCCTTGTTTTATGCAGAATCCAGATGATCCAGATACTGTAGATGTCATCATGCAAAGTCTGGATCGAGACCATAACAAGAAAGTGAGTTTTACTGAGTATCTTCTGATGATATACAGGTTAGCTCATGCTTGTAATAAAATCATTGGCAAGGATTACTGCCAAGCTTCAGGGTCAAAGCAAAGAGATCACAGCCACCAGCACCAAGAGGAACAGAGTGAAACAGAGGACAGAGAAGAAAATAAGCAAGAATCCTCTTCTAGATATTCAAGTTCAAGTGCAGGAGAGAAGGACTCCTATTTCAGGGGCTCCAGAGGAAAAAACAGAAACAAACTGAGGTCCAGCTCTAGAAAACTGGGACATGAAAGAGGCTTGTCTAGATCTGGACATAGGCAAAGCTCTGAAGAAAGGACAGATTCAAGTTTGGACCACTTCAAGAATAGTGAGAAAAACAAGCATGGCTCTCAACAGCAAGATGAATCTGAGAGGCACACGTGCTGCACTCATGAATCTGGTTCAGGTCAGAACTATCAAAACAGAAGGCATGAAACAAACACTACATATCAATCTGGACACTGTGAAAAAGAGGGATATTGTTCTACTTCAAGTGAGCACTCTGGTTATGGAAAACATAGGTCTCCCTCAGGCCAGTCTTCCAGTCAAAGAACACAGGAATCCAACTCAAGCGGTACATCCAGAAACTGGGGACAGCAAAAACACAGATCTGGGTCAGGAAGATCCTCAAGTTTTGAAGAATATGGGTCTGGCTTAGGTCAATCCACAAGTAATGGACAAAACAGTTCTACATCAAGACAGTCATCCTGCTGTGGCCAACATGGATCCAGCTCAGGACAATCTTCAGGCTGTGGTCAACAAGGATCTGGCTTAGGCCAATCATCTAGTTATGGACATCACAGTTCAACATCAGGACAGTCGTGCTGTGGCCAACATGGATCCAGCTCAGGACAGTCTTTCAGCTATGGTCAGCATGGGTCTGGGTCAAGTCAATCTTCTAGTTATGGCCAACATGGATCTAGTTCCAGGCAGTCTTCTAGCCACAGACAACAGGGCTTTGAATCAGGTCAACCCTCTGGCTTTGGGCAACAAGCATCCAGATCAAGACAATCTTCTGGCTCTAGTCAACAAGGATCTGGTTTAAGCCAATCCTCCAGTTATGGACAACATGGTTCAACAACAGGACAGTCGTGCTGTGGTCAACATGGGTCCAGCTCAGGACAGTCTTCCAACTATGGTCAGCAAGGATCTGGCTTCAACCAGTCATCTAGCTATGACCAACATGGGTCTGCTTCAGGCCAGTTTCCCAGCCACAGGAGACATGGTTCCGGCACAAGAGAATCCTCTGGTTTTAGCCAGCATGAATCCAGCTTAGGACAGTCTGGCTCTGGATCAGGTCAGTCTTTCAGGTATGGCCAACATGGGTCTGGATCAAGCCAGTCTTCTAGCCACAGCCAACAAGGGTCAGGTCTAGGTCAATCTTCCAGATATGGACAACATGTGTCTGGATCAAGCCAGTCTTCTAGCCACAGCCAACAAGGGTCAGGTCTAGGTCAGTCTTCCAGGTATGGCCAACATGGGTCTGGATCAAGCCAGTCTTCTAGCCACAGCCAACAAGGGTCAGGTCTAGGTCAGTCTTCCAGGTATGGACGACATGGGTCTGGATCAAGCCAGTCTTCTAGCCACAGCCAACAAGGGTCAGGTCTAGGTCAATCTTCCAGGTATGGACGACATGGGTCTGGATCAAGCCAGTCTTCTAGCCACAGCCAACAAGGGTCAGGTCTAGGTCAGTCTTCCAGGTATGGACGACATGGGTCTGGATCAAGCCAGTCTTCTAGCCACAGCCAACAAGGGTCAGGTCTAGGTCAGTCTTCCAGGTATGGACGACATAGCTCTGGCTCAAGTCAATCATCTAGCCATAGTCAACAAGGGTCAGGTCTAGGTCAGTCTTCAAGATATGGCCAACATGGGTCTGGATCAAGCCAGTCTTCTGGCTTTGGGCAAAATCAGTCTGGCTTAGGTCAATCCTCTGGCCATGGTCAGCTGGGATCTGGCTCAAGTCAATCTAGTACTCACTGGCAACAGTCTCAATCACAACAATCTTCTGGGTTCAGCCCACAAAGGTCAGGATCAGGTCAGTCTTCTGGTTATGGGCAACAAGGATCTGGCTTTAGCCAGTCTTCTAGTTATGGACAACATGGTTCAACAACAGGACAGTCATCATGTTGTGGCCAACATGGATCTAGCTCAGGGGAGACTCCTAGCTACGACCAACATGGGTCTGCTTCAGGCCAGCTTCACAGCCACATGAGACATAGGTCTAGCTCAAGAGAATCCTCTAGCTTTAGTCAGCATGAATCTGGCTTAGGTCAGTCTGCCAGGCATGGTCAGCAAGGGTATGGCTCTAATCAATCTTCTAACCACAGCCAACAAGGGTCAGGACTAGGTCAGTCTTCCAGATATGGTCAGCATGGGTCTGGATCAAGCCAGTCTTCTGGCTTTGGGCAAAATCAGCATGGCTTAGGTCAATCCTCTGGCCATGGTCAGCTGGGATCTGGTTCCAATCAATCTTCTTGCCACAGCCGACAAGAGTCTCAATCACAACAATCTTCTGGGTTCAGCCCACAAAGGTCAGGATCAGGTCAGTCTTCTGGTTATGGGCAACAAGGATCTGGTTTAAGCCAATCCTCCAGTTATGGACAACATGGTTCAACAACAGGTCATTCGTGCTGTGGTCAACATGGGTCCAGTTCAGGACAGTCTTCCAACTATGGTCAGCAAGGATCTGGCTTCAATCAGTCATCTAACTACGACCAACATGGGTCTGCTTCAAGCCAGTTTTCCAGCCACAGGAGACATGGTTCTGGCACAAGAGAATCCTCTGGTTTTAGCCAGCATGAATCCAGTTTAGGTCAGTCTGGCTCTGGATCAGGCCGGTCTTCCAGGTATGACCGACATGGGTCTGGATCAAGTCAATCCTCTAGCCATAGTCAACAAGGGTCAGGTCTAGGTCAGTCTTCCAGATATGGCCAGCGTGGGCCTGGCTCCGGTCATTCTTCTGGCTTTGGGCAAAATCAGTCTGGCTTAGGTCAATCCTCTGGCCATGGTCAGCTGGGATCTGGTTCCAATCAATCTTCTTGCCACAGCCGACAAGAGTCTCAATCACAACAATCTTCTGGGTTCAGCCCACAAAGGTCAGGATCAGGTCAGTCTTCTGGTTATGGGCAGCAAGGTTCTGGTTTAAGCCAATCATCTAGTTATGGACATCACAGTTCAACATCAGGACAGTCGTGCTGTGGCCAACATGGATCCAGCTCAGGACAGTCTTTCAGCTATGGTCAGCATGGGTCTGGGTCAAGTCAATCTTCTAGTTATGGCCAACATGGATCTAGTTCCAGGCAGTCTTCTAGCCACAGACAACAGGGCTTTGAATCAGGTCAGCCCTCTGGCTTTGGGCAACAAGCATCCAGATCAAGACAATCTTCTGGCTCTAGTCAACAAGGATCTGGTTTAAGCCAATCCTCCAGTTATGGACAACATGGTTCAACAACAGGACAGTCGTGCTGTGGTCAACATGGGTCCAGCTCAGGACAGTCTTCCAACTATGGTCAGCAAGGATCTGGCTTCAACCAGTCATCTAGCTATGACCAACATGGGTCTGCTTCAGGCCAGTTTCCCAGCCACAGGAGACATGGTTCCGGCACAAGAGAATCCTCTGGTTTTAGCCAGCATGAATCCAGCTTAGGACAGTCTGGCTCTGGATCAGGTCAGTCTTTCAGGTATGGCCAACATGGGTCTGGATCAAGCCAGTCTTCTAGCCACAGCCAACAAGGGTCAGGTCTAGGTCAATCTTCCAGATATGGACAACATGGGTCTGGATCAAGCCAGTCTTCTAGCCACAGCCAACAAGGGTCAGGTCTAGGTCAGTCTTCCAGGTATGGACGACATGGGTCTGGATCAAGCCAGTCTTCTAGCCACAGCCAACAAGGGTCAGGTCTAGGTCAGTCTTCCAGGTATGGCCAACATGGGTCTGGATCAAGCCAGTCTTTTAGCCACAGCCAACAAGGGTCAGGTCTAGGTCAATCTTCCAGGTATGGCCAACATGGGTCTGGATCAAGCCAGTCTTCTAGCCACAGCCAACAAGGGTCAGGTCTAGGTCAGTCTTCCAGGTATGGACGACATGGGTCTGGATCAAGCCAGTCTTCTAGCCACAGCCAACAAGGGTCAGGTCTAGGTCAGTCTTCCAGGTATGGACGACATGGGTCTGGATCAAGCCAGTCTTCTAGCCACAGCCAACAAGGGTCAGGTCTAGGTCAGTCTTCCAGATATGGCCAACATGGGTCTGGATCAAGCCAGTCTTCTGGCTTTGGGCAAAATCAGTCTGGCTTAGGTCAATCCTCTGGCCATGGTCAGCTGGGATCTGGCTCAAGTCAATCTTGCCACAGCCGACAACAGTCTCAGTCACAACAATCTTCTGGGTTCAGCCCACAAAGGTCAGGATCAGGTCAGTCTTCTGGTTATGGGCAACAAGGATCTGGCTCAGGCCAATCTTCTCATTCTAGTCAACATGGATCTGGCTTCAGCCAGTCTTCTAGTTATGGACAACGTGGTTCAACAACAGGACAGCCGTGCTGTGGCCAGTCTTCCAGCTATGGTCAACATGAATATGGTTCAAGTAAGCCTTCTAGTTATGGTGGATGTAGTTCAGGATCAGGTAATTCTTCCTGCCACAGTGAACAGGGCACTACTTCAGGTCAGTCTACAGGTTATGGTCAACCTGGATCTTTTTCAGGTCATTATTCTAGCCACAGCCAACATGTATCTGGGTCACATCAGTGTCCTAACTATGAGCAATGTGGATCCGGCCCATGTTCATCATCAAGTTCTGAACAATATGGTTCTGGTTATGGTCAGTGTTCTAGTTCTGAACAATATGCACCCTGTTCATATTCCTCAAGCTCAGGACAGTATAGTTCCGGATCTGGTCAGTGTTCTGGCTCTGAACAATGTGGAGCTGCTTCTTGCCCCTCATCAAGTTCCAGACAATATGGATCTGGCTCATGTCCCTCAAGCTCAGGACAGTATATTTCTGGATCCAGTCAGTGTTCTAGCTCTCAACAATATATGTCTGGCTCAAGAGGAAGATGGGAATCTAGATGTAGACATTCAAACTGTAGTGAAGGGCAACCAAAACACAATTATAGAGAAGTAGAGTGGTCTTCAGGGTGTGGCTTTGAATAAATCATACCTTATGAATAATCTAAATCCCATACTATCAATAAAGTGTCAGTTTGCAATGAGGACAACAGACAAGGTAGCTATTGTTATCAGAGAAGAGGGAGAAGTTATTGTGAAGGGGAAAGTAAAGATTTGTTAGTAGGACTCCATTCTATGAATATGTCCAAGAGCTGAGGACTTAATTCTAAGAACAAATGATAAACACAACTAAAATTAAGTGAAGAAATAATTTTAAAAATAACAAACTGTTACTTTTAAATAATCAATTAATCATGAAAGTTCTTCCTCTCTTTTTCTTTTATCCTTACAGTCCTTTCATTGCTATTGGGTTTCTTCCAAATCTAGGGTGTTTGGGCTACTTGTTAGGAAATATTCAGCTGAATAAATAATTAGTGTGGAGTAATACATTTTGGAGAGTAATACAAAACACTTAAAGAACTCGGGTTTCAATTAAAGTATCTTTTAATAGCTTGTTGTCCAATTAGCAGTGATGTCAAGGCTAAGTTTGCACTTCTAAAAACAAAATATTATGTATGCATTGTCAATTATGGAACTTAGGATTACTCGTACAGCAAAATACAATCTAATTATCAGTGCATTCTGTGTTAGCAGTAGCAGAAGGTAGAATGTCATAAAAGCAAAATGTAGCACTAATACTTAATTTTCTTTTCAAACTTTGGTACATCTTTAACCGGCTAGTGGCATTAAAACATATTTCAGTTGCTCCTCCCTAGCCAGTGAAAAGGAACATAATTTCTTAAAGAGCAGAAATGAATTGGTTTAGAATCAATGAATCTAAATTGATTTATGGTCAATTTAGTTACATCAAGAAAGAGCTTATCCTCTATTTCCAATAAACTGCCCTATATTCAAAATCTTTAGAGGAGCTATACCACAGGAAAGCAACATCTCAAATCCACTTTTCTAGTTAATTAGCCATTTCATCTAGAGAAATACCATCCAAATCCGAATGGAAAGGAACACTATCTGCCACTGCTAAACAGAATTCAACAGGTTAACTAAAATATATGCTTCAAGTGATTGGATTTGAACAATTGTATTACATTAAAATTAAAAACAAATAAATGATAATCAAACATTGACATCTGTCTCAATCTGCTTCATAATACTTCTCAACATGTGGTCAAGTCAAAACAAACCATCTATTTCACAAAATCCTCTACTTCATAACAACTCAAATGTATTTTTAAAAATTTTAAACTCAGTAAGACAAACTGCTAGACTTAAAAATAGCTGAAATTCTATAATTGTCTTAATAATGACTTTTTGGATATGACACTAAGAACACAAGCAAAAAAAGCAAACTAATTGAGACATCAGATTGAAAAGATTCTGCCCAGCACAAGGAATTTAAAATAATAATAATAATAAAGCAGCCTACAGAATGGGAAAAATGCTTACATAAAGACCTCAAGAAGCTCAATAGCAAACATACACACACACACACAATACAATATAAAAATGGGCAAAGAGACAAAGAAAACATACAGGCAACAGGTACATGAAAAAGTACTCAATATCAATATCCATTAGAAATATTCACAACAACTAGAATGAAATGTCACCTTGAAGATGCTAGGAGGACTATTATCAAAAAATCAAAAGATAACAGCATTAGTGAAAGTGTGGTAAAAAGAGAACTCTTACATTACTGTTGGTGAGAATTTAAATTGTTATAGCTACTACAGAAAGAGGTACAGAGGTTCCTCAAAACATAGAACTAACATACATATGACCCAACAATCCCACTTCCAGGAAAATAAATAAAATCACTTTCCTGAAAAGGTATTTTTACTTCTGTGCTCAATAAAGCATTATTTACATTAATGAAGAATCTGAAACCAATTTAAGTATTCTTCAACAGGTGGCTAGATAAGGAAAATGTGACATAGTAGATAAATACAAACATTGTAATATTATTTATCTTTGAAAAGAAGGAAACCCTTTAATTTCCAACATGGATGAACCTGAAGGACATTAAGATAAATGAAACAAGCTAAAAAGTATCAAGACAAATACTACTTGATCTCATTTATACATGGAATCTTTAAAAAATCCAATATACAGAAGCAGAAAGTAGGAGGCTTATGATCAGATGTTGGGAAGAGAGAAAAGAAAATATTGATCAAAGTATATAAACTTCCAGGGGTTCAGGTCTTGGGGTTGGGGGCAACTACAGCTCCCTGCAGTGTGGCAGCTGTGGGGGGTGCCCCCGCCAGGCTGGACCCAATGCTGGGGATTTAAGTTAAAGCCGCTGCCACCAGGCAGTGTCTGAGTCCTAGGTTTAGGTGGCCAGCACATCAAGTGGTGCTTGCTCTGCTGGGCACCCGGTGGCAAACTCTAGGGTTTTTAGGACATGTAATTGTTGCCTAGGGACACCCATGAATAAGGCCAGTTTTAGTGTGAGAGATGAAGGGACCTGATGGTTTGGAGGGAAGTATCCATAAGATCTATTTCGGCCAGACTGATTCACCAGCCCAATTAGGAATCCTGAGATGGGCTGTTAGCATAGAGCATCACTGACTGCCACACACCTGCCTGTCTGACAGGGCTAGGTACCATTATCTGACTGGGTGGTGGAATAGTGGACTGGTCACATTTGGCAAGGTCAAGACACTAACCAGCACATGAAAGAACTTGGTCCGGGGGTAGAGTATGTGAGGAAAGTGTGGGCCCAACCCTGTGGAAATACAAGTCACCCAGGTTAGCTCATGAGCCGGGGTGGCAATGGACTAAGCTAGGAGTGACCATGGCACCTGCCATCACTTACGGGTAAAGGAACCGATGGCAATCTTGGCACATCAAGGCAGCACCACCCAAAGGTGCATCCTAAAATAGGATGTGCAACTGGAAGGGGATGGACTAGGCAGGAAACTTCAACTCACAAAAAAGAACAGAAATCAGATGGAGCACATGTCATTCCGGCCCAGGCTCTTACACCAACTGGTCTGCATGAGGCAGGGATACTATGCCACAGCATCAAAGTCAAAGGCTGAGACAGGGGAGGGGCTAAGCCAACTGGGTCAGAGCAACCACTGGTACGCACATAATCTAGGGCTGGGAATAGACTTGGTTGGGGAGCTGTGAGAGTACACCCTTGCTGGATTGGGATTCCCACGGGAGGGTGCGGGGGCTAGAGTGGAAGTTGCGTTCTGGTCTGGATATGGCTGCAATCTCCCTAGGCACAAGTGTGGACTGGGGCTAGGCGCACCAAGCTGGGCTAGACACCAGCACCATCTGGCACTCTGGAGAACCTGGGTAGATGTAGGATGGACTAGGCTGGGTCTCTGTGCATGATTACAAATGGATATATATTTTTCTCAAAATATAGAACTGTATATCTAAAATCAGTGCATTTTATCAAATAAAAATTATACTTCAATAAAGTTGGTTGTTTAAAGGCTTTTTGTGACACACTAATTCAAAAATTACATACAAGAGCAAAGGTTCAACAAATGGCTAGGACAGGTGATCACCAAGCTAGTTAAAACACTGGTTAGCATACCCATATCCCATGTTAGAGTACCGAAGTTCAATCCTCAGCTTCACTCCTGATTCTAGCTAATGAAGCTAATGAAGACTTTGGGAGGCAACAGATGACATTCGATAGATCAAATTATCAGATTCTTACCACCCATATGTGAGACCTGGATTGAATTCTCATTTCTCAGCTTCAGCCCCTTGATTCTGCAGGCATTTAGGAAGTAAATCAGCAAATGGAAGCTCTCCCCGTGTGTATCTACCTCTCTCTCTCTCTCAAGGGAGATAGTGTCATCTCACCTGAGCTCAAAACATATCACAAAGTGATAATTCTTAAAACAAAGTGGAATTGTTAGAGACAGATAGTCAAAGCAATAGAATAACCAAAAATAGACCCATGAACACTTGGTATGTGATAGCACTGGCAATGGGACATGGAGAAACTTTTTTTAAAAGGTTTATTTATTTTTATTGGAAAGTCAGATATACAGAGAGGAGAGACAGAGAGAAAGATCATCAGCCTGATGATTCACTCACCAAGTAACTGCAACAGCCGGAGTTGAGCCAATCTGAAGCCAGGAGCCAGGAACTTCCTCCTGCTCTCTAACATAGGTGCAGAACCCCAAGGCTTCTGGCCGTCCTCAACTGCTCTCCCAGGCCACAAGCAGGGAGCTGGATGGGAAGCACGGCTACTGGGATTAGAACCGGCACCCATATGGGATCCTGAAGCATTCAAGGTGAGGACTTCAGTCGCTAGACCACCACGCTGGGCCCCATGATGAAACGTTTAATTAATGAAGCCAAGATAATTAGCTTCCCACATATATATCTTTATTTCATACCATATGCCAAAAACTCTATCAAGTGAATTAAAGACTTAACTATGCAAAAATGTAAAGAAAATATGTAACAACTTTATGATGGTCACTAAAGCAAGGAAACCATAGGGCCAGTGCTATAGTACAATGAGTTAAGCCACGGAGAGCTTAGATGGTTACCAAAATAATCATTTAAGAAGCAATCTGGCAACCATACAAGTTTGTAAAAGCAAAAAAAAAAAAAAAAAAAATTACTAACAACCTAAAAGTTCAATGAAAGAACAGTTAAACTATGATCTATCTGTATACTGAAATGCCAAATAACAATTAAAATTAATGACCCACAGGCATATACTCACTGAGAAATTTCAAAAGTATACCATTGAAAGAAAAGTTATAAAATATGTACACATGGTATGATAGATACCACTTACATAGTCTTACAATATACATAACAGTCTCAGAGAGGGCAGCTAAAACATATTTGATAAATCTGAGCATCTTTATAAGACTGATAAACTCACAACCAGGATAGTGGGCACCTCTAAAGAGGAGAAAATGAGACACAGAAAGAGTAACAAACAAACCACAAGGCTTCTTAAACAAGACAGAATTCATTTTATTGTTTCCTAATCTTCTGTCTAAACCTCAAATT